AAAAATACTCGGGTCTCTTACTTGTTCATTAATGTTGACTCAAATTTTATAGTCTCAACCAACTGGCATTGTTTTCTATATTATTAACTTCTGCTTTATCTTCAGTCCTTTAGTTTTTGGAGTTGTGTTGATATTCTTTTTCTTGTGTTTTTACTTGAATGTTTAGTTCAAATTTATTTATCTTCCATTTTTCTTTCCTAACAAATATATTTATTGCACATACACGGACATATGTACTTTCTGGTAGTGGCTTTGATAAGTATTTCTTTCAAAGCACTTCTAAATAGTTTCTACAAATCAAATGGTGAAAGAAGCTTCAAGAAAAGGAGCTGGGTGTAGAGTCTCAACTATGTGGTGGGACATGGAAGCCTTTTCTGCCCCAACTCAGCTCTCTTGTTCCTTTTCTTTCTTAGCTCCCATTTTTTTCCAGTAGCTGTTGCCTCTACTCCCCCCACTTTTTTTAATATAACTGTCTTCTTCTAGTCCAGAGAACTAATAAACTCTCTCACAAATGGCTTGCCTTCTCCAGAAACACGCACATTCTACAAGTGGATACAAGGAGAGGAGGAGAAAAACTAATGCAAAGAAAAAGGAAAGGTGGGGAAGCTGGGAGGGAAATAAGGTAGAGACAAGAGTAAAAGAAGAGTGATAGACTTCTGGAGTCCCTAAGATGCCATAATTATTATTGCTGTTTTATATGCAAGGAGTTTCATACACTTGCTAATTGACAGATGCATATTCTCCAGGGGAAGTGAGAGATTTGGGCCATAAGAATTGGATCTCTGTGTAGTGCACAGAAGCAACAAAGTGGTAGGAAAGTAAGACGGTTTCATTCTTTCAATGATCATGTAGTTTCACTGTAACATAAGCTATATGGGGCTGAATGAAGTGTACTAGGCATTCTCTCCACTATTCTGAATCTGTACTTTACTAACTTGGTCACAGGTACTTGTAGATGTGGATATTCTCAAGAGACAACTGGTAGAACAGTGGCCTCCCAGTGATGTTCATCTCTTAATCCCCTAACCTGTGCACGTTCCCTTGCATGGCAAGGGGTACTTTGTACATGGGACTAAGGATATTGAGATGAAGATATTATCCTGGATTATGTACAAGGTAAAATGTAATCAGAAAGGGAAGTCAAGAGAATCACAGAAAAGGATATGAGGGGCTGGGGGGTTAGCTCAGTGGTTTCGCTGCCTGCTGCACAAGTGAAAAGACCCGAGTTCAATCCCTGGTACCAAAAAAAAAAAAAGAAAAAAAGAAAAGGATATAAGACAATGAAGTGATATAACTGCTGGCTTCCAAGATGTGCAGGAAGCCTGTAGAAACAGAAAAACAAGGAAAGGGATTCTCCCCTAGAGCTTCTGGGAGGAAGACAAGTCTGCTGACACCTTGATTTTATTCTCTTTAGACCTATGTTGGACTTCTGACCTATAGAACTGAGAGATAATAAATTGTTTTGTTTTAATTCTGTTATTAGCAATGGGGGACTAATACAATGACAGAAGTCATGTAACGACAAAGCATACATCTGGGCAAAATGCTAGTTACAATTTTATGAGATCTGGTGTTTCTCAATTTGAGTACTAGATTTGCATAAGGCCACATTTTTCTGCCCCATTCCCCTTCTAGGTTTCACAAACATCACTATGAAAGGAGCCAAGTTTGGGAACCTTGTAAATTACATGAATTGGACTCTTACAAATTCCCTGGCTGCTGAGCTGAAGTCCTGGCCTAGAAGTCTGATTCAGAGGTTCTCTCTGAACACCCATACCTCTGCAGGATGTCGTTCCTCCATAAACCTGCTAAGCTGCCCCTAGCAGTTGGGGTTTGCTCAGTGAACATCTGGAGTCTCTCCTAGGCTCCTTCAGTCATCTGTCTCCTAGGTGTAGAATCTGCAATCCTCCAAAGAACACACAATGCTGTTGAAGGAAGGAAGAAGTGTGCAGTGGTCAGAGTCCTAGGTAGAGAGAAAGACTTTATGCCCCTGACGTGATTCTCATCCATACTCCAACCTTAATGAATCCAATATTGCCAGAGCATGCTGAACAGCAATTAAAAATTAAATTTAGAATATCTATATTTTTATAAAATGCTTGAAGAATGAGTTTTACTTTTACTTTACTTCCAAGTCATTCAGTTATTTTCTTTCATTCACCAGTTTCAGCATAGTTTTGGTTCTTTTTCAAACCTTCCTCTGGTTGTCTAGAAAATGGAAAGCAGCACAAATGACATATGAGCTAAGCAGGGCATAATGGCACATGCCTGTAATCCTAGCACTCCAGAGGCTGAGGCAGGAGGATCACCTTGAGTTGGAGACCAACCTGGGCTACATAGTGAGTTTAAGGCCAGCCTGAACTGCATAGTGAGACCTTATCTCAAAACAAACAAACAAAAAACTAGGATTACATTAGATATGTATAATTTTAATTACTATCATCCCAATTTTAAAATGAGGAAAGAAGGTTCAACCAGATTAAGTAACTTGCACCTCTAGCAGGAGTTTGTTGGGCACAAACAACAAGGCCTAGACTTCAGCCTAGGGGTCCTACTCCTCTTTCTGTTCATCTGACATTTATTTACCGTGTATGAGCCCTGTTCAATATGCTGGATATAACTGGAAACAAAATAAGATAAAAACTCCTGTTCTCAAAAAATTTGTATTCCAATGTTGGCAAGACCCTGGGTTCCTTTCATTAACATCTTATGATAATCACTTCACTCAGATAAAAGCTTAATTTGCTGTTTTGTTTGTTTTTGAGACAAGGTCTCACTATGTGGTTCAGGCTAGCCTTGAACTCACAGCAATCCTGCTTCAGGCTCCCAAGTGCTGGATTACAGGTGTTCTCCACCAAGCCTAATTAAAAGCTTAATTTTGAGCAGCATCCTGTTTGTAATTTCCTGGGGGACCTACAGTATTTTAACTGGTTCACCTAAACCCAAGGGGTTCTTAATTACAGAATTCCTGTTAATTTACTTGTTTTGACAAGAAGAACTGGAATTATGCACTTATGATTCAGGTTTTATTTCCATGATGATTCTCAAAGGGTGAGACTAATTGTGCATTGGTGATATACCTCTGCCTTCTATTTTGCTCTTTGAGGGCCAGAGTAGTACCAGGCCATGACCAGGTAAAGAAGCGAGCTCACATTTAGATGCTCCTTACAGGATGTTGAACCCAAGCTTCTGCCTAAACATAGGAATTCAGGGAATTCCCTCATTCTCTGCCCTCAGTACTTACTGTAACTTCTAATATATTTTTATGGAGCTGGAAATTTGGTGGAATTTCTATGAAAATGAAATTTTTACTTTTAAAATATTTTAACAGAGTGGAATTGCTACTATAATGTGCATAAGAGGCATAACGAAGCAGATGAAACTTTCTTGGCCTCCATAGAAACTGGCTAAGAGGCACTGAACTACTGAACATCCTTGTCTAGAAGATGGAAAACTTGGAGCAGTCTGCCACCTTCAGGATAACTTCCAAATAAACTCCATCACAGAACACTTACATAACTTTCAAATACCAAACCCTGTAAAAACATTTCATGATAATCTGTGGAGAGCGAAAGGTTGAAATAACTTTCAGAGACCTCTGAGTCTCTTGAGAACATAATGAATCCTGGATATGCAGCTGGCACAAAAACAAGGATGGTTACTTGTAACGAGAGTGGTTAAATAGAAAGAGTTCGAATGTCTGTAATGCAAGGGAATGTTATTCCCGGAGTTGTAAAGATACATTTGACCTTTTCCCTGGAAAATAATTAGTCGCCGAATTATGTACAGAGGAGGGGTTGGGGGTTGTGGAAAAGGTATATAAAGGGCAATAAAGTGGGAAAAGGGGTCTCTCCTCCGCCTCTCTCTCCTTTGTCTTTTCCTCAGAGGTTTTGTTTTTCTTTCATCCTCTCCCCTCCTCTCAGGTACTGTTCGACTAGTGACGGCTGGCACCGTCACAATAATCAGTAGTGGGAACTATATTCCTGTAGTGCTTTCGCTATGATTAAGCATTATATTTAACCGTAATACTACTTTTCTTATTAAAACTGCCCTTTTAAAACATCAATTTAAAAAAAATTCTTCAATTTCATTTTTATATCTATTTTTTTCTTACTATAAACCGGTTAAAAACAATCAGTTTATTTTATTTCACTAAACAGAGCTGAGAACACTAAAGGTAGATTTTGTGAAAAATACTGCAACTTCGGAAACTACTACTTCCATCCTGGTGGATTTCTTTTATTATGTATCCATCGAAGTACTTCTAAGAAGCTTAAGCATCAAGGAAACCATCAGAAATGGAAAGAAGAGGTAGAGAATAAGAGATAGGGGAGAAAGAGAGAACATGTAACATGTGCTTTTTTCCAAACGTACTTTCTGTCAGTAAGTTATACTATCTTTCGAACTTACAAATTAAAAAAGACCAAGGAAGGAAGACGAGCAATAGGGTGAAGAATAATAGGATGACTCGGTGCTTCATAGCATACAGAAGTAAATCAAGTTAGTAATAAAAATAAAGAGAAGTGGAAGGAAAGAGTAACTAAAATGAATACCATTAGGTAAAATGAAATGGAACTGGAACGTATAAGAAAATGGAAAGTGAAAACAGTGGCTGAGATAAACATTAGGCAAGGGCTCAGGAAAACAAGGGACACAGAAATAAAAGTGGTTGAAAACAAATACTCATCGAGAATGAACACCCTTTTCTTATCTTCCCGTTACAACAGCAGGAAAGCGGAATTTTAGTAGCTTGTGTGACCTTCGGCAATGACCTGCGAGACGACTTCAGCATCAACCTCCCCGCAACTTTGAGTCTCCACTTTGCGGGGCGACCTCGGCCTCCTCGCCTAGCAGCTTTAAACTTCGCGGCCACGCGCCTGACGAGTGGGGGCGGGGCCCGATGTGGACACGCCCCCGAGCGGCCCGGCTACTCTTGGTTGGGCAGCGCGCAGGACTGCGGCCCGCCCGAGGCCCCGGCCCCGCCCCGCCCGCGGGAGGCGGGCCCTACAAGGAGAGTGTCCTCATCCCCGGAAGAAAGCGCGCCTCATGTAATTACGGGCAGGGACGCGCTGTGTGGCCTCCTGGCCGCCAGAGGACGACGAACGCATTTAGGTACCGTTTCCCGGAGCGCGGGCCGGCGTGACCCCAGACTTGCCGGTGGGCTCGGAGGTCACGCACGTGCGTCGAGAACTTGAGTGCACCATGTTATAGAGAGCATGGGGGCTGGGGTGGCTCGAGCGGTTAGGAATTTCAACTTAGAGAACCGAACAGAACGGGAAATCAGCAAGATGAAGCCGTCTGCGGCCCCGAGGCACCCATCCACCCGCAACGACCTGCGAGAGATGATCGGTGAGCTGTGCGGAGGCGCGGCGGGCGCGGGCGCGGGCGCGGACGCGGACGCGGGCACGGGCACGGGCTGGGGCGACCTCGGCCCCGGGCCGGGGGACCTACGCCGGCCTTCTCGGCCGCAGTGGCTTCGTCAGCCAAGCGCCGGGCCGGGGAGGCCAGGCCGGTGACATTGAGATGGTCCTCGCTGCGCCGCGGAGATTCCCCCCCCTCCCCCGCCTTGGTCCTGAGGGCGGCTCACGCCCCGCTCTTCGGGCCCTTGCTCTCTTTTGCCTTTAGTGCTCGATGAAAAACTTTGAACAGGGAATCAGAGTCAGCACCCCTCATGTGCAGCCCACGGTTTTTGTAGGTGTCTTCCCAGAAGGATGGACGCTGAGCCTGGCCTAATATTTTGTTTTTATGCCTAAAATGTTTTCGTAGCTGTCTAAATGATTGTTTAAAAGAAAGTGGCCACTTTATGTTAAGTGTGTGGGATCTTAGAGGAACTTTTTCCTTTTTTAATACTGTGACTTATTTTTTTTCTCCTTAGACCATCCGGAAATTAAGAGAGACATTGCTAGGAAAAATGACAAGCTGCTGTCATTACTGAAAGATGTATATGTTGATTCCAAAGATCCTGTATCACCTCTGCGGGTAATGTGTTTTTTAATTAAGTAAATAATTTACTTATTTTGGGGTTCGAGGAAAATGATTAAGCGAAGTGTGGCAAATGGCAAAAGTGAATTCTCTGCAAGTGTAAGAATGTAGGAGTAGTTGTGGCCAAAGTCCAGTGCCTTGGGAATGTTTAAGATAGTGGTCGAGGCAAGACACCAGCCATGATTGTTGGCTATTTACCAGAATTCTAAGAGACTTGTGGAAGTATTGATTGAATACACTTATACGCGTTATTTTATATTTCAAATTTGTAAGATTTAGTAAGGTAGGAGACCTTTAGTACTTTTTTCTTTTATATTCTCTGAATTGAAATATGTTCTAATCTCAAGGACTCTGTTAGTGTTGTTCAGTTTGTGGGATGCAAACAATTAGTATTTTTAAGGTATGTTCAGATAGGATATGTAAAATTAGAATCATAGAATACATTGGGAATGGGAATCCATATAATAAGTGTGTTAATCTGCATAATATAGATAAGTCCTTAGTAAGTGCCAGGTACAAGTGCTTTGCATATAGTGATGAAAAAACATACCTAGTTCTTAATTCTCACAAGGCTTGTGTGTGGGACACAGCCACTAAACAGATGAACAGCCACACATACATAATTATAAGCAGTGTGAGAATATCAGAAGGACTTTTTTATAATTGGAAGATGACAGATGGCTTCTGAGGAAGTGACATTGAAGGATGAATTGAAGTTTGTAGGGAGAGGTTCTAGGTAGGGAGGAGAGTTTGAAGGAAAAGGAAGTCCCAACAACTTCTGGATTTTTTTTTTCCATTCTAAAATTTTCTGGTGCTGTCTATAGATAGGCAGAATATTTGTAAATAGTTACTAACAACATTTTCATAGAACAAAATAAGGTTGGTAATTGGCATGTAATTGTGATTATAGGGTTCATTTATCAAATGGTCATGTAAAAAGTACAGGGATTGATATCCATGTTCTTTATATTATCATTAAACTAATATTGAGTAGTAGTTCCAGTATTGTTTCTGTCATGTTATACTAAATAATGCAATTGAAAATTGGCTCCTGGGGAGTGAAACATTAATTTTTTAATATATAAAACATATATACATATAATCCATAAAGAAATATATGTGCTCGTATCAAAATTTCACAGGAAAAGTCTAAAATGACTCCTTTTTTTTTCAGTGGTAATGAGAAATTGAATTGTGTAAGTTCTTTGCCCCCTGTTTTTTCTTTTGGGCAGTTCATAGTTTTCTTCATGATTTGTGATGTCTTTAGACATGAATGCTACTGTCCTTGTCATATGGCAAATGATTTGTTTTCTGACTTTTTGACTTATAGCTGTTCAAAATTCTGTCAAATATGCCAGCCATTTGTCCTTAATGACACAGAAAGACTGAGACCACTGTGATATCATAAAAGTCTTTAATATTTTCTTTTAGTAAGGTTTTATGTTTGTATAGTTTATGTAAAAATATTTAGCACTAGATATGGTGCTTATTGTATATATCAGTTTATCTTTTCAAACCAGTGGCCATTTGTCTGACTATAAGTTATTAAATAAACCAGAACTTTTCCATTTACTTAAAATGCTACTATACCTATACTATATTATATATAGTACATATATATATACACACACATACACCTATATATATATATACACACACACACACACACACATACACCTATATATATATACACACCTGTACTGTACCTATATACACATATATATGTGAATATACATATAGGTCTGTTTACAGACTCATCAGTTCTATATATTTTTCTATATTTACACTACAACCACGCTATTTTAGTTAATAGAGCTTTATAATGTATCTTTTTTTTTTTTTTTTTTTTTTGGTACCGGGGATCGAACTCGGGACCTTGCACTTGCAAGGCAGGCGCCAGAACCACTGAGCTAAATCCTCGGCCCTATATCTTGATGTCTATTATGATTTTCGTTCTTATCAAAAGTCTCTTCTGACACATTTATTTTTTACAGATGAACTTTGGAAATCAAAATGTCAATTTTTTTAATAAACACTATTTGGATTTTGTGTGTAATTGAATTAGAATTTGTAGATTAATTGGAGAGGGATTTACATCTCTTAATTGAGTCTGAGTGATAGAGGGAAAATTGTTAATAAAAGTGGGATCTTTTTTATCCTAAGTTTTAAAAGTATTTATTGTTAATATATGATAAAGTGAGTGATTTTGTATTGTCTCTGTACTGCTAAATTATTTCTCTTAGGGATTAGTTTTTCAGTTGACTTTCTTATTTTTCTAAAGGTATTGTATATCTGTATGGTCTTGTAATATTCTTTGCCTTTCTAGTATTTGTCCTTGTTTATTATGTTATCTGTATCTCAAACATAGCAGTGGAAGGGGGCATTCTCACCCATTTCTAACATATTTCAGAATAATTATAAAAATACTGGTTTTCAGTTTTAAAAACTTTTCTATTTTCTAAGTTTCTTTTTTTTTAAAGAAGGATGTTGAATTATATCATGTTTCTTTCAGTGTCAAATAATATTAAATACTAAAAAGGTAAAGGGCATGTCTGAATGAAGGTTATGTTTGGAGTAGGAGTAGAAGTAGAAGGGAACAGAAAGATGAGAGCTTTTAGTTTTGGAAAGTAAAGCAGTTGGGAAGAATGTTTAAGGCTGATGCAATGTGAGTTAAGAGAGTAAGTGATGGTTTTGGAGAACAGTTTGAGTTCATATAGTTAGGGAAAGGTGTGAAGGCTGAATTTGGGAAAAATAAGTTAGGATAGAGAGTGATAGAGTAAAGATACTTGCTAAAGAATTTTGGTTTTATCCTGAGGATTATAGGAAGTATTGAAGAGTTTCATATTGAAAAATAATGTCAGGTTTGGTAGTGAGCAGGGAGGGAGAAAAGTACATTTTATTCAGTTAGAGAAGACCAGCTAGGAGATATTTGCAGTAGTTTCTACATTTTACTAGAGTGATTTGGTGATGGTGGGGGATAAGTAAATGGATTCCAGGGAGATTTAAGAGCCCGTATTAGCAGGATTTAGGCATAGATTGGATGTAATGAGTTAGGGAGAAGGAGGTTTCAGTAAAATCTCCAGTTTGGGGCATGGGCTATGGGAGAGGGTAAAACTAGTGGTAGGTTCCATTTTAGCCATACTGAATTTGAGGTCTATTTCCGTCACTCAGAGATGGCCACTAAGAATTTGGGAATTTGGGTGTGGAAGTGAGAAAAAGAGTCTTGGTTTGAGATCACAGATTTGGAGGTCACTAGCATGTAGGCAGTAATAAAACCTAGAAAAGTGTGTGGGATTACTTTGGAACAATGTCTAGAGTGAGAAGATGACCTGGCCAGAATTTCCAGCATATTACAGTTTAAGGTCAGCAGAAGGGAAAGCCCTATTTGGATTTTGTGTGTAATTGAGTTAGAATTTGTAGATTAATTGAAGAGGGATTAACATCTTTTAATTAAGTTAATCACACAAAGAAAATAAAGGAACCACTGGAAGAACAGATGGAAAACAGAGAGGTGCAGTATGGAAACCAAGGGGAAGATAGTTACAGGTACTACATTGATGTGGTCAGCAATGTTAGATGTACTGAGTTCAAATAAGGTCTGCAAAGTGCCTCTGAATTAATCTTCTAGGAAATCATTAGAGATAGCAAGTAGCATTGTCTTTTAAACCTTAACCAAAGAGAAGAAAACTGGTTAAAAGGAGGAGGGAGTGAGTTTGGGGTTTAGTGGGAGTCTTAAAAGTGTAGTAGTCTTTTCCAAGAAGCAGTGGAAGACAGGGTTGCAAATGAAAGGAAAAGGTGTATGATAGGAATTACTAGATAACAAGAATGGAATATAGAGCACAAATGCAGAGATTAAGGGTAGATGGGACAGAGTGATAGAGGGATGAGTGTATGTCAGTTATATTAGAGTGTTGGAGACATAAGTTTATTTTCTCAGAAAAGACAAGATCTCTAGCAATACTTGAAATCATTCGAGGTGTTTGGGGCATTGAATATAAAATGCAAAGCTCGAAAACAATGGACTGGACGGTATCAGGTGGACTATTGAAGGCGGCTTCAGAATTCCCTTATAAAGCAAGTGCAGCTTTTAATCTAAGCATTCCTGTTATTATTTCAATGTATTGGTCAAGTATCCCTTGTCTAAAACTTCTGGGACCAGAAATGTTTCAGATTTTGGAATAGTTGTATAGGCATAGTGAGATATCTTGGGGTTAGAATCCAAGTCCAGACATGAAATTCATTTATGTTTCATATATAGCTTATACACTTACTGTAGCTTAAAGGTAATTCTGTACAATATTTTTGGTATACCTGTTTTTTGACTGTGATTGTCATAGGAAGTAGGTGTGGAATTTTCTACTTACAGTGTCATGTTGGCACTCAAAAAGTTTTGGATTTTAGAGCATTTTGGATTTCAGATTTGTGTATTAGCGATACTCAACCTGTATGTGAAATGATGTGAATGAATGGTATTCATTCAGTTATCATTTTTCTAGAGCTACCTGAATTGCTTAGTAATGATAAAATTAGAGTTACGAAAAGATAACATGGCAAAAGTACTGTCAAACTATTGCTCATTATAATGGGAAAATACAGTTTAGGGAAGCATGTACAGTATTTATTTGAAGAGAAATAGTGTAGATTTGATTTGAGAAATGTGAAAACAGAAGCCCCAAGTATAAGTAATTTAATGAACAGAATAAAGGATACATAATAGCAATCAGGGAGATATATCTTTTGCAAGTGGAAAAGGGATCCACAGATAGAGGGAAGGGAAGGAAGAGGAAGTAGAAGGAATTAAGATAAGATGTGTCATGTACATGTGCCATCTCTCATGATGAATGTAATCACTATGTACTGCAAACCTGTACTACTAAAAAAATTTTCCCCCAAAAAAGGATGCTAAGTCTTTTATCCTAAAGGCTTTTTTTCTTTTCTTTCTTTTTTTTTTTGTTCTCTCGATACTAGGTAAAAGATTCTGAAATATGGCAAGAGACAAAGGAATCCAGATTGCCAAAGGGCCATCACTTTGGTATGGATATTAAGAACATTCCCAAGGGCAAGATTTCCATTGTAGAGGCCTTGACACTTCTCAATAATCATAAACTTTATCCAGAAACATGGACTGCTGAGAAAATAGTACAAGAATACCATTTAAAACTGGAAGATGTAAATTCGCTTCTCAAGTATTTTGTTACTTTTGAAGTCAAGATCTTTCCTCCTGAAAGCAAGAAAGCAATAGAATCAAAATGAAGAAAATCACGAAATTACTTTTCTTATGTGTACTTCTCATCCCCTTGCTTGCTTATTTCCTCAATTTTAGCATATTAAATTATAGAAAATACCAAGTGTATGATGCTCCTTACTTTGAGAGCATGCTATTTATTGAGCTGTGTTGACGTTTCAGGATTGCTAATAGAAAATAAATATTTTTTTAAATATTTAGGTTTAGGCATAGTTCTATGTATATGTCAGCATGACTAATCATATCTACAAATTTATTATAAGTGAGAGAAATACTGTATTTTTGGCACATGATAACACTTTAAATTAGTCACATGGCTTGAACCTCACATTTAACATTCAAAATTTCACCTTCCAATTTAGATTATTAGTTCATTCTTTGTAACAGCTTTCCTGACTCCTAGGATGGAAATGTTTTCTTGTTAGGAAAGAGAAACTGAACAGTCGGGTCGAATAACAGTATTTCCAAAATACCTTTGAGACTGAATTTCTACTATGAGGTGAATGTAATGCTTTCTTAAATGTAAGGGTTACCGTGAAGATAAATACAAAGGACCAAGCAAATGTAAATTATTTTTTGCAGTTGAGAACAGATGCTTGAGGAAGATATATGACCTAAATTTATATAGTTTGTGACATAGCCAGAATTTAGGTTTTCAAAGTCCTAGTGGTATATTCTTTGTGTAATGGCAAAAAGAAATCTATTTCAAGAGGGTAGAGGTAGTAATTGTGATTGTCAGTGTGCTTCCAGGGGAAGATACGTATTGCTACCTTCCAGAGATTCCTTTGGAAATACTGTGGAAGCTGCTGAGGAATTCAGCATGATGACACAATGACACATTTTTAATAATGCTTAAAACAAGATGAACTGAGGTGGGAAACTTGGAGGCTTGTTTTCAGATGCATATGAATAAACTATATCTACTTTAGCTCTGGTTCAGTAGAATAGTTCTTTTATTAAAACATGAAAGAACTCAAATCAATATGAACTTATGTTTTAAAACTGTAAATCACTCAAAACCATTTTGCTTTATGTAAAGATCAATAATCAAATCACCAGTACTGCTGTTTCTGAGCCATCTATATTGTGTGGTTAGTTACCTTAGATACAGCTAATATAATGTCACACAATAAAATAAAGTACTTCCTGTGTCATTCTTTAGCTTAGCTTACTGCTATTTAGTTTTATTTATGGCAGTATATTATGAACAGGAGAGTAATTTGGTAGTGGTGTGTAGAGTTTAGGTTTAGGAAACCTGCTTTGTTCTCAGCACCACTACTAGCCACATGATGACAGAATTGTCCTTAACTGTAAGATAGTTAATAATAAATGATAACATTTTAGATTTACTAGGCACTAATCTAGGTGCTTTACACATACACTTGATTAATATTTGTCACAGGTATGAGGAAAAGTATATTTTACAGTGAGGGTTGAAACAGCTTCAGTAACTTATTAGTGTTGAACCTTGGATTTAAACCCTGGTAGATTATTGTCAGGACCTTGTGCTCCTAGGTGCTGCACTGTGTTGCCTTCCTGTAGGTTCATGAGATTGCAGTGAGATGTCATACAGATTGCCTGGGTTAGAAAAGGCCAGGACTACTCAGTGCTTGCTGATTAAGTCTTAGCAACTCAGTGGATGGACTGTATCAGGAATGCTTTAAAAATACTTAATAACCAGTGACTGTTGAGGGTGTGTGCTAATCATCGGTGTGGGTTGACTTCCATTGATTTTTTTTTTTTTTTTTGCCCTGGAGATCGAACTCGGGACCTTGTGCCTGCAAGGCAGGCTTTGGAACCACTGAGCTAAATTCCTGGTCCTCCCACAAATTTTATTGTGAAGGAGGCTGAACCATGGACAAACGGAATGGTAGTCTTGAAAGAATTTGAAAGAACGAAATTTTCTGAGTGTTGAAGAGGGGAAGAAAAAAAATTCTTCGGGGTAACATTTAGGGTTAGGATCAGGAGAGGATGGAAGGAGGCTGATAGAACTAGAATTCAGGTTGCTGATAGAGGAGAAATTGCCCCAGAAGTGGTTGCAGAACAGTGGATGGATTGGCAGAGTTCTACTATAAAGTTGGTAATAAATCTGTTGGGCACTTTTGAGTGAAAATGGACACCAGTCACATTTAAGACAAAAGGGCAATCAGCATTAACTGGACAAACTAGACGGTATGCTCATCCTAACCACAAGGGCACTGTTAGAGCTCTTGAAGGCCACTTGGGATCTGGATATAGCTATTTTAGCTCAACCTTGTCAACCTCTGGCATCTCACCATCAGTCAGGAGTAATTTTTTCATGTGGTGAAGGTTTTTCTTGGCCTGGAAATATTTTGGCATTGACATCCTTTTTCCATATTTACTCACTGCCCTTAAACATCCATAATCCCAAGAAAAGGAGGGCAAGGTCCTGGACAGTTTGTAGTGTGGGGGAGCATCTGTGGATATTTGGAGGGACAGAACTAAAGGGGTCAAAGCACCCTGGTTTGAGGCTGTGCATAAAGATGGCTTATTGAGCACAAGTTGAAAATATACAAGAAATGAGCAAATATAAAGGATTAAAATGGTTCTAGGCATCTCAAAAAGCCACTCATTGTTTGGTAGTTACTCTCCTACTTTTCCTGACAGACCCAGTGTCCATGAAACAGTTTGAGAGACAGAATGTCTATCCACGGCTATCTGGAGACCACATCCTCTGCTTTAGGAATAATAGTAGATTGCTTTTTAGAAGGAATAAAATATCAGAAGCACTTATTTGGCCTAATTCTCTATGAAAAATAGAAACAAAAAAACCAAAGCTTTAAATCTAGAGCATTTGGGTTGCTAATTCATGACACATTTTCCCACTGTCAGTTTCCCAGCAATAGAACTGGGTACAGATTCAGCTTGACCTGATCATAGCCATCTTTAGTCATAACCACTACGACTGCCTCTGAGAAACCCTGGTTGGTTTTCTCTGGATAGTTTCCCAGCATACTATAAATAGTCAAGACCAACAGATTGGTATTACATGTAGACTCGGGCCCAGAATGTGTCTGACTCTTGCTATTGGCTTTAGATGAACCAGGTACACACTGGCCTGAATAAAGTCACTTTTCCCTTGACCTCTTGGAATCTATCTGGTCTTGCTACCACCCAGGACCATGCCTCTGTCCATATGTCCCTAGAATTGTACTCTTTGCAATTCTGGATCTACCTACCTCTTTTTTTAGTCACGTGAGCTTTGGGACTGATTCTCATTCACCAAAACCATTAGTGAGCCAGCCAGGAGACTAAGGAAATGGGCCAGGGAAAAAAGCATTAGCAGAATTCCTGAATTGGCCGTCCCATTACATGTGGTAAGAGGTGGCCTGCATTAAATGTTTGTGGTTCACCAAGTGATTATGGATACTCCCTAAACTTACTGCTGGGTTGGAACAGCTGTTTGCTGAATGTCATTTATCCCACTGTAGTAGGGAAGGACAGTGTCTTGCTACAGTGGGATGGCCATTGTTTTGGGCAGTTCAGTTGGCCACCAATGCCCAACCGGCTGCAGATAAGAGCTTAAAGATATTAGAAAAAGGGTTACAACTTGGAAAGAAATTTGTGTATAATTCTTAGGTTCTAACTTGGCTGAGAAAATGGAAGACCCGGACACTAAGCTATAAACCCTAGTGTTCTGCTTTGTGTCTCTAGAAGGAAAGAACTGGAAGAAAAACAGGTGTGAGCTGTCATCTCTAGATCAGGATGGGATGCAAAGAACTGGAATCCCTGGTTGGTGGGGAGTGAGGAAGAACTGAGATTGAAATCCCTCTTAGCCCCTTTCTCCCCAACCCCTGCTGTCTTTGCTGCCCAGAGCAGCATTGATCAGACCCAAAGCTCAGCTTCTCTAAGTCTCATTTTTCTACCTTTCCTGTCTAATTAATTAACTTGCCTTGTGCTGTCTTGGCTCACAGAAGACTAGGGCTTACTTCAGAGGTTCTAGTAACTTCCCCTTACCATGTTCCTTATATCCACGTATTGCTTCAGGGGTATCTACACATTCCTAATATCTGTGTCAGTATGAGGGCTCAGGATCTCACTCTTCATCTGGTTCCATTAACTGGTGAAGATTGTACTTCCTTAGGGAACAGGAGATGGCTGTCCACTCCCAGGCTTGGGCCCTGAACCATCGTGAAGTTCTCGGAGTGGTCTGCCTGGGTAAGACCTGTTTGATTCCAGGCACAGTGCTAACATGCAAATCTTCCCCATTCCCATAGTGCAGGAAAGGAGGTATAGGCTTTTTGTGGGACTCTTGAGTCACTGGCCACCATTGTGCTCCTTGTCTAGCTCAGTGCTTGTGCCTACTATGTTAGCCGATTGAGAGGGGAATCACATGGAACTGACATGTTCCCCAGCAGAACACATTTGAAAAGGCAGATTTTGACCTCTCAAGGAAAGGCGATGGGCACCCCTCTATGAGGTGTGCCAATGCAATTAGATGTCAAGAGTATAGCAGATGGTACAACTTGGGCTCTTTGCCAAGAACAACAAAGATCCAAGTCTAGGATTTTGGTCAGAGTTTTGGAAGGGAATTGAAACTAGCTAGATAAATCCCTTTAGAACAGTAGATTGTAGGAGAGCACAATGTCCTGCTACAGGTGGAGCCACTGACCAAGACTATTGGACACGGTGTGAACTAGCCTACCTGTAAAGAGGTGGGTGATTGTACTTCTTCACCAGTCTCAGCGCACCATAGTTCATACCCCTAGTCTAAATAAGTGGCTTGCATATTAACGACAGTGCAGCATCTTCTCCATAGCTTATTAACTTGCAATCTGCAGACAGTGTTGGGCTGGGTTAACTATGAAATTACGTTACTACCCCAGGCAGCCACACAGTGGCCTGTGATCTGAGTGCAAGTGGTTTCCCCCATACCTAAAAATGCTTGGTATATACACGAGACCAGCAGGGGGAACCCAAGTGCCTCCCTTCGACATAGAACGCCAAAGGACTGGTGCAACTTGACTTTATTCACTCAGACATGGGCACAAGCAATTAGGGTTTCACAGAATTCATTTGTGTCCCACCTTCCATGGTACTTCTCTGGGTAAACAACTTAATCTCAGGTGTTTTTACTTTTCCCTGCAGTGTATTAGCATGCTTACAACGCCCTCTTAATTCTCAGTGCTCACTGAGGAGGTCAGTTAGGTCTCATTCTTCCCTTTTGGTCTCTTATAGAAACAGTACTGCTATTTTTGTATACTACTAACATTAAGTCCAGGGGAGGAAACAGTTCAGGAGAGATGCTTTAGTGTAGCAATGGTGAACCTTCTAGAGCTTTCAGTGATGCAAACAGCCTGCTGCAGCACATGTGCCATAGGTTCAGCACTGCTGTTCTAGTGGCTTCCTCCATGAATGAGTCAGCTATTTCTTGCCAAAGTATGTGGAGTCTCTCGCCTCCTAATTTGGTCTCCATTGACCTTGTTTAACTCTGACTTGTGGTCATGGCTTATGCCCTGAGTGGGCCATGGGAAATAACTCAGAGTGCTACAGTTAGCCTCTTGGTTTGACATGCCATTTCACTTATGGACCCTGTTCTGGTTGCCATCATGTGGTATGCTGTACCACATCAGTCCCCAGCTGGTGCTGGAGTGTTGTGTAACAGATGATGTTACTAGTATTGTCTTACTGGATAGTGCATATTTACTTTTACAAGTCTCTAAGCATCTGTTTTCTTGTTCATAGCTGTAGTTTTTTCTGTTTTCCTTGGAATCTATGCTATTATCAAGACAAAATGTTTTGTTATCATTCCTAATGTCAGTCACATAAATGAAAATCCAAATTAATGTCTTATGTGATCCTATCTCTAGTATCCCTATGAGGCATACTAGGTTGTTGATTTGGTTTCTGGGACTCCTGGTTGAAAAAATTCATTGTTTTTATAATTTGCATAATTGTTCTCTGTC